GCACAGAACATCATTTGTATTTTATGAATTTCTTTCCTTACAATTAAACTGTATAAACAATGCATGCACTGTATATTCATAGAAAAGAAACAGCTCTAAGGATGTAAGGGCTTTAGATGAACGAGAATGGGAGAAGAGCAATTTGTTTTGAGGCTTAAAAGTACAATTATTTTTCTGTCCTGGACTGAGTACACATCTGGTGGCAGGGTAAATGTGACTTCCAATAGCTTTAGGAGAACATTAGGAATGAAGACCATTGTGCACGTATTTTAAACATTCATTACTTCAAGGGAATACACGTTAGACTTTGACGTGTGCAAGCTCTTACCAAGCGCGTGAGAGAGCAGACAACGCCGCCAGCTCCCTGACAATGCTCCCCTCCTCGCAGCGATGCCCCGAAGCACCCCAAAGCCGGGTTCTCCGACACGGGGCAACCCCTAGAGCCAGCGCTAGCCCAGACCTAAACGCTTCACCCCGCTGCTGTACCACAGCTTGTCCCCATGCTTTGGCGCATCAACACGTCAGCGGGGGGCTGGTAAGAAACCAAAAGACTGGCAGAAATATAGTATTTCCCTAAATAAAAGCTATCTTGGTTTTCCTGCACACAGCCTACAGTTGGGGAGCGAAGGAGAATGAGCGCAGCCATGGCAGACCAAGAGACCAAGGCACGACATCTCCCTCATCCGCGCTTGAACCACACAAGGCTACAGCTTCGCCTCTGGGACATGACAGTACGTCTCTCTGACAGACTGATACCTAAACCAAAACACTCCGTGAGCAGTAAATAAATGTAATTATTACCATTCTGTCATGTAAATTAAGTGTCATTTCCGTAAGTCTAAAACAAGCACCTGAGAAAAGAGGAGAGGCTTGCAGGGAAAGTGATGCAAATCTTGCCTTACAAAGCAGTGCCCAACAACCCCTTCCAACGCCCCCCCAGCAAAATCCTTCCACGTCAAGAGCAAAATACATCCCTTGACCAGTTCCAGGAGAAATTTTCTTAAGATACTCCACAAAATGGCCTCTGGTGGTAAGTTATTAAAAGACAGTTCAACCTGTGCAGCGGAGCGACGCAACGCCCCGGTTTGTCGATGCGGATCGCGGGACCCGTCTCAGCGCTAACGTTAAACCCTGGCCCCACGGCTGAGCCCTCGGACACTGCGCACCTGCGTGACAGCACCTGCAGATTTGTTAGGCTGCGACGTTGTTTTCTCGTGGGCTACGGAAAACCCTACGAAAATCAAGGGAGATCGAATTGTTTTAAAATGAACCGTTTTAAATTAACTGCTGAATTCACTGGTTCACAGTATTTTAAAAACGCATCCTGATCCATAGCTCAAAGAGAATTACAGTTCCAGTGCAGGACGTTCCTCCAACAGTTTGGAGCGTGGGAGCAGCTGTGACAGAGGCTTATTTTAATTTCAGCTGGCAGCGCTCTGCGTAGCTCCAGGATTTGTCTCTAATCATGCACAGCCTGATTCTCCTTCCTGCACCCAGGAAACCTGAACGAACGAGCCGGCGACTACCGTGACCTCTGATTTCCACCACCGCGAGGACGAAGCGCTCACACTTGCGACCGAGCGCAGTTCTCCGCGGGAGCCGTGCCATAATTATGAAGAAATTGAAAGGTTTCGGTGATCAGATCACCCGAAAATAAAGGTTTTAAAGCACTAGTCTCAGCAACAAATTTATCTAACGTCGTGGCATTAGGTGTAATTGAATTATTATGAGAGGATTAACAAAATCCTGCAAGAACAATCTGACTGCCGTGACTTCCCCTCCTACTCCTGCCGATGAATAACATATACAACGGAATGCCAGGAAATAATTGTCACAAATGGGAAACGCTGCGGACTGGAGGATGCTTGGCTTTAGGAGTTCAGGAGTTTGAAGCAAAGACTCTCCGCTAAGGACGTGCTTTCATTCACTTCAGTGTTATACAGGGGCCACCAATTAATAGAAGTTTTTCTAGACTTATGGGTAACTATGGATTTCCGTTTTATATTGGTAAATCTCACGTAAAATTACCCTCTACCTCTCTAACTCCCACTGACATCTAGAAACGCTTCATTTAGTATCTGAGACAGCTTTGGAGCGAAGTATAGGCACAGTTCGAATCATCTGTCTTTTGCATGGCATAATAATTGCAAACGACCATGTCTCTATATAATGCCTGTGTGATGCCTATATCTGATGTATACGATGCTATAGATGCTATGTATTTATATCCAAAACCACGCTTGTCGTTGACGACGTTATTTCATACAATCAGGGAGATGAAGACGGAAGATTTTAAAACCAAAGTGCCACCGAGATTTAAATAAAAATCATAGGTTCTGGCTTCTACAGTCTGTGCGCTCCTCACCTGAGGAGTTTTTTCCTGGTTTTGAATGCCGGCCCTCCTCAGGCAGCTGGGCAGTAACACTCTCCACCTTGATCTCACAGGCTTAAGTCCAGCATCACTTCTGAGTCACACTGACGTAGCTGGGACATGAGAAAAGAGAACCTGTGTAATGGGATCCCAGCTCTCCAAAATCTCTTTTCTCCTATTGCTGAGTCAGAATAAAGAGACTGGAGGTTGAACGTATCTGGAGAGATGAACATAGGAGAACCAAGTGGTAAGTGAAAAACCTGAACTCCACTCAAATCCTCCTGTCCGATGAACGATCTGACATGTCCCAAAGACACATCGCAGTTTTGCAATATTGACCAGAAGACGCCAATTCCACCCTGAGCTCCCAGTGCTTGCTGGCTTCTGGAACGACTCCTACCACCTACAGATCTCCACAACTGGCTCAAACTTCCAGGTTATATGTGCAACAGTGTACACTGAAAGGGCAGAATGACTTCTGCCTGAGGAATGTGCTGGGGCAAGCGGGTCCCAAACACTGCTTCTCCACGACTGTCTCTCTGATGCGGCAGCCTGCACGGCTTTATGGTGACCATTCCTATCTAAAAGGCATCCCCTGCTCCTGAGCGAGGGTTTCCCAGAGGGTATGTGTTTTTCAGTCACGTCTCCTGTCCCAGTGGCGTGGAAGGTGGGAGATACTGTGGCAGGCAGCAGACTCACCTGCTCTTATTCCACCTGTGGCCCTGTGAGGCTGATCTGTACAGAGCAGCATTAATAGGACTGAAGACCTTTCCCACAGAGTGTAACAGCCGTTTTGCACTGAAATGTGAAGGGAAGATCAAGGATAGAAAATGATCTCTGTATTTTACCCATATAGAAATAGTCTTTGTTTCCAAGCAGCATTTGCAATATATCTGTATCTGTGCTATAGCTGTTTCTATATAAAATTTACCTTCTGGAGTCAGGCTACTAACATTATTTTGACTCAGTTAGGCCTCCAAGGCAGGATTTCCATTATTATGGAGATGAACTGCCTTTAATGACTGCAATAATATAATTGTACCCGAGGGCAGAATTTCTAATAACACAATTGCACAGTTCTCAACCACCAGTAAGAGATACCTTTAGGGCATGTTATTCATTAGGGGTGCAGTACACACTACCTCAGCCTCCAGAAAAGAATATGAAACCTAAACCAATAAAGCTCTTTTTTTTTTCCATGGTAGTCTCTGCCCTGCGGGCAAACATTGAACAACACACTTAGTTTTGCCTCCTGGACAGCAGTAGCCTCCAGAGCAAGAGTCCTGGCAGCAAAATCTGATGCACGCTATTTCTGTCTCCAGCAAGGAGTCCCGAACATTCCACTCCGTCTGAAAAGCCACACAAGCCCCAGGAGAAATGCTTGAGAGATTGCCATGGTAGCCGTCAGGCTGTACATTCAGAATTCAAAGCAAGGACTGACACATTAACATTGCTTTTAACTCCACCCGGAATTGGAAGGACTGTCTATATTGATTAACCTTCACATGATCGAGTTCAGTTTGGAGAAGTATCCAGATGCTCAGGCACCTCTCTGAAACTCGAAGGACTCTTTAACGTCAGTTTAGCCAGAGATTTCATTTAAGTTTATTCTCCCACGCCTGTCTAAAAGTTCTGTTTTCTGCCCTAGATGAAGAGATTTCAGCAACAGCTTTTCTTGGCATCTTTCTTCCTGTATTTCAACAGATTTTTTTAACAGCCAAGAAAGTTCTTGTTTGAAGCCCACACATAAGCGTGGGTGTAGGGAGGTAGTAGGAATGGACTCCAGTCAATGTTGCTGTCCCCTGGGATGGCAGAAAGGAGAGAACGTTTCAGCAACCAAAGAAACCAAAAATACAGCAGCGTTAAGCGGAGGACCAGGCACTTGGCCTCTCCCGCCCGTGAAGTCAGACAGTGCTGATGAACAATGCCACGAGCATATAAGACAACATAGTTTCCTAATTGCGCATTTCACACAGTCTCCAGGTACAGACTGCAAGGACGGTATGGTTGATAAAGGCGACGGCGAGGATTCAACACCCTCGTCCCCACGGGAGATGCAACCAACTGCATATCAGAACTAAATAGGTCCAACTGCCAAGTCAACGGAGCGGTGTTCATTAAGACATTTTGCCAGATAGGCCCCGCTGGATGATCTGGCTGGCGGAAAAACCCCTGGGCTGAAGTAGCAGAAAATTTCACACCTGCTTGGGCACATTTCACGTCTGGTTTCCCATCCAGGGCTTGGTGCCCGGGTGGGAGGCTCCCTGTTCCGGCGCGGCGTGCTCGGCAGGAGCAGGAGGAGCGCGGCAGCGAGCCTGCCGCTGCCAGGAGCACCGACGCCTCCGCCTTGCTGCGGTTTGTGTTTGAGCTCAACGCTGAGCTGCTCTGAGGACAGTGTCGTACCCGCAACCCGTCCTGCCAGCCGCTGCCTAAAGCCTGCCTGGGCATGGGGACTGTGACCAGCAGACAGCAAGGTATATACTATTTAGCAAGTTTTTATGATTCTACCTGCCTCTTGCCTACATGCCTCAGGAGGTGGTCGGTCAGGAAAACGCTGTAGAAGAGCCTTACGCTACTCACACAGACGCGTGCACCCTTCAAGGGTGCTCTGGTGTGGGCACCCTCATGTCTACCGTGGCGTGACTTTGGGTGACAGGGTTTCACTGAGAGGAAATAATAGCGTCTCCTTTTCCCAGTTGCCTATTTTCACAAAGCTTTGAAGAAACCTGTTATTTTTGAGGTGTATCTCTTCCTCTCTTAACCTTGGTGGAAACCAGCTGAAACATCGACAGCCCGTTCAAATAACCAGTTCAAAAGTTATTTGGAAGTAAACACACAGGCAACCCGAGCTGTCACCTAGCCTTACACTACCGGTGCATGAGCCACATTCCCTTGGGAAATCAGGACCCAGGGCTTTCTGCTGTATTACAGCACCCAACTTTTAGGTAAGTTTGCAGATGAGAAAGTAGTGCTAAATAAAAATAAATCACTTTGTTGTCAGCATTGCACAGCAGTGACCAAGCAAGAAACACAGTCACTCTCATTTCTTTCCTTTCCTAACTCCTTGCTCAAATAAACTAATGCTTTCTCTCTCACTCCTAAATTGAAATGAGGACTGTGCCATGCCTAGGAGAACAGTGTCAGAGAAAACAGCACACTTCAGCTACGGACCGTGCCAGCGAGGACGGGGAGCCGGATGGAAGGAAGCTCATGGGGCTGACACTCCAAAACTTCCAGTATTTAATACTTCCCATCCTTTGCACAACCGCCACCAGAAGAACAAGTTATTTCAGTTTTAAAAATCAATATACCTTGATCTATTATAACTTTGACCTCGCACAGCTTTGTACCCTGGCTGCTGGAGGAAGCTCCGTGTAATTGATCACCCAACTCTTTTTATCCCAAGAGGTGAAGTCGAACGGTCCATAGACAATAGCTTTGTAAAGACCGGGTAACAGGAGAGAAATAAGTCAGGAATAGGTTGTTCGTTATTTTACTCATCCGGCTGTAAACGAACTATAGCTTTTCGCATACTCGTATACATCACCAGAGTATGTATTTCAAAGTCCATTACAGGCAGGCAGGTTGGATGGAGCAAGGCTTTCCAAGATAAAAGAACAGCTCTAACAGGTTTAGGCTTTTTAAAATAACCATTTCCTGTAATGTCTGGCTTTTTGACCTTTACTAACAGGACAGGATTTCTCCCATCAATCCAAGTGGCACGTCGTATTTTGGAGGACTGTCGAGGACAGCTCTCAGGGAGAGAGGTAATGCAACTGCACCCCTACACCGTCAACAACAAATACTGCAAAACCATGCCTGCAAATTTGAAAGGTAGGCTCCTACCTCCTACTAATGGTCTCTTTTTGAATTAAAAAAAAAAGAAAAAAAGATGACTGAAAAAATGACTGAAAAAGCTGTCTCCAAGTCAGGAGGATTGCCAAATTAATTACTGACCCCAAATCATTCCTGTTTGCGGGACACTGAGTAATGTACCAGAACAGCGTAATTTGCAGTGGAGGTTTTATCTCCTGGGAAATTTTTTGAAAAACAATGGCTATTTAGAGCAATGCAGAGGCAAAATATTTGCTTTTTAGAATGTATCTTTATCAGCTTCTTGGCAGGGATGCTTTAATAGTACACAGAGATGGGGATGAACACAATGGGAATAGAAATCTCACCCCCAGCTCCTTGAGATTGAACACTAGCTGTTTTCACATTTATTTGCAAGTCAATTTTGGGAAGCTATTAATGACAAATTTAGCTCTTACTGCTGAAAGCCCCTGGGTTGGAGCAAGCTAATGAAAGAAATGGTTACTTTAAGACATTACCTCTCATTTTCTCGTAGGATGTCTTTTCCTTTCTTCCAAGAATAAGTAGGTCTGGGGGAAGCTTTCGGCTTACACTCAATGATTACTTCACCACCCACTTTAACAAGAGTTAACTTTTTCAAGAGTGTTTTGGAAAAGTCTGGACCGATGGCTGAAAGAAAAAAAAAACCAAAAAACCACAACACCAGATCAGAATTCCCTCTGGAAAAAAACAGTCAGGCTCTTTTGAACATTACAATATTCCAGGGCTGCTTCTCACCTGCAATTCCTAAATGATCTGACTTTATGAACTGTGCACACATATGGATGGGGCAAACAGGCACCTGAATGCTTCAGCTCTTTACTTGTTTAGAAATGCATGTGCAGCTGCAAACCTCAGAAACCCGTAACCTCGGCAGGCAGCAGAAACTCGGTGTCACACGCATCTTATTCGGGGCAGCACCCCTAAGAACTACGCCTGCGTGCACTGGATAATGTATTTCCTTTTTTGTGTCGTAACAGCGTGATCATAATTTCGTCGAATGTTGCTATGTGCGGAGCAACAGCATACAGGAAGATTACCACAGAGAACCCATACAATTAATCAGAAATGTTAGTATTTCCAGAAAAGTTGACATTTTTACGCTTTATGTTCACAATTGTTGCATAAACAGGGTCTTTTATTTTCATGCTGTAAGGGTGGGAGACCTTGACACGGCCAGGTCCTGAACCAAGCAAAACAAAGCAAGACCCTGTAGGCATCGGCGTACAAGGTACTCTCGAATCGTCTTTCTTAGTCCCTTCAGGGCACACTCTTCTGCTTTGTGAAAAACAGTCAGATATTCATCGGAGCAAACACCAAAGCCCTGCAGACAGTCTGCAGCCTGGCTGCGAGGCAGGCCTGGGAGGGAGGAGATGGTTTGGCTTCGGATTCCTGCCTCAAAGGATTTTTAATGATTTATTTGATGGGACCCGATGACAGGCAGAGCTTTGAGGCGGCTGCCTCTAGACTGACTCTGGCACTGAACTCCCCAAAGGTGACTAGAAGGTTTTATTTATATCAAAGTAGGACAATTAATTTTTTCAATATGGAAAGCTCTGAGCAAATAGGTGAGGCAGCTTAAGGGTTTTACGAGCAAGTCTTGCCCTGCTCGCTACGTCTGTGCTGACAAGAGCTTGCTTTCTGACAGATCAGTGGCAGCAAACTCTGCCCAGTCCCCTGCAATTCTCTCCAGCCCCTTTGCCAGCCGTCTGCCTGCAACCCTGCGCCTCCCGCCCCATCCCTGTATCCCCCGAGCTTGCAGCGTTTTCCTCGGCTTACTTTCTTGCTGCGCCCCGGGAGGTGAGAATTTAGATCATTGTGCATTGCATCTGCTTGACGCTCCATGAAATGATCTAAAGCTCACCTGAAGCGGCTGGGAGACAAACCCTGCCGTGTGATACAGAAAGCCAATTCATTTTTCTTAGGGCGTCTCATCTGCCTCAGTTCTTTTGGATATCATTCCTGTTGCAAAAGAGTTGAATAAAGCGTAATACCGCACTGATAATGCTTTATGATCGAATAGATCTCATCTTCCACTTTCATGAATCAGAGTTCACTAATCTCTGAGCTGTCTTGCCTTCTATGTCTAATCATAGATGGCTGACTTCATTTTAGCATAGAGGAAAACGTGTATGTTATTAAAGACTATAAAAGAGCCATCTGAAAACCAACACCGGCCATGTAAAATATTTCAAAATTAAAGGAGGCATCCTGAGGACGAATGCACTCGGAACCAGATGGATTATTATTTATATCATATTATCATAATTAATACATTATCACTTCTGGAAACAATTTCTCAGATGATTGTCCAAAATTTATGAGCAAAAGAGATTTCTGAATAATCCTGTTATTTCCATCTCTGTAGTGAACAGTTTAGACTGGGTTCTTTACAAGTCATTTGCTATTTCCTTCTTGGTCCTGCATGAGGTAGAGGAGTTCATGATATGGGTTTTATTCTGTGCTGTTCAAAATGTTGTCATCTGGCATTTAGAAACTCTGGGCTCATTTCTCAGCACTACCACAGCTTCCCTGTGCCACTTCAGGGGTAATGCATTTAATTTCTTCACACCGTGTTTGTAAAATGAGGATTTTAATTACTTTTTTTTCACTCTAAGCCCACCCTTCCTATGTTTGGGTTTTTTTTTTTTAAAACATTTAGCCTGAAAAATCTTTAAGGCAATGACTGCATCTTACTATATGTTTTTACAATGCCCAGCACAACGGAATCCTGGTTTTAGCTGAAGACTCCAGGCAATATAATTGGCAACACTAATAGAGAAGAATCACTCTGAGAAAAGCTCTGTCTGTAATTTTCCATTTCTTTTTTTCCACTTACTTTGGCTATAAGTCTTGCTTGCTATTAGTGGTGTTTAATCACTTCAAGTACTTAACTGCAGGACCTTTTAAAATAACCACTTTTATACTCAGAAAGCTCTGTTTAAAAGCTAACATTTCTCAGCGAGAGCTCAGAATACTGACCTCCTTTGAAAACTCCAGCGAAAAGGAAAATGTGCTGTTTTTCTTTAAAAATATGCCAAATTAAATCAGAGATCTATAGAAATTAATCTGCAGCACACCGTTCACTTTTCACGTGACATACAGAAGCAAGATTGCATAACCCACAGGAGAAGTCAGCCAAATACAAGTTATCTGGCAGGTTTTTAAGAGCAGGCTCTCCAAGGTCTTTGCTTTTTGTGGAGACACGAAGTTGGCCCCGGGCGCTGCTGGGCGCAGGGAGGCACTGGAGGTATCCCCCAACAAGGGCTAAGCCTCTGTCTTCCAAGAAGACCTGCCTTCCTCCCAAAGGCTCATTTTTACCAGGGTTTTGAATAAACAGGTAAAGCATCAGTGGGTTTATTTCGATTTCTTTCACACAGGAACACGTCCAATAAATCTTAGCACTGTGAAGTCTAATTTATTGAGCATTACTGTACTTTTCTTGAACAGCAACACTGACAATCTTTCAAATAATTTTTTTTTTCTATGCAGGCATCTATCGCTGCTGATAAAAAATGACCGATAATTGAAAAATGCCATAATCAGACAAGACCTCATGCTTTGTTCTTCAGGATAAAGTGGGGAATGATGCTATTGAGCATTTGCTTTGAAAACAACTAAACCACTATTCAGTAATCATGAATACTATTTAAACCTTTGAAACTACGTATCTATGCCGACACATCGGTTTCCAGGCCTGCCACTCGTACAAGAGCAACGTTTGTGAATGAGGTGCAGACTCGCAGGACAGCCGAGGCTGGCAGGGACCTCTGGAGATGGCCCCGTCCCACGCCTGCTCAAGCAGGGGCAGCTACAGCAGGTTGCCCAGGGCCATGTCCAGTTGGGTGTTGAGTATGTCCAAGGACGGAGATGCCACAATCTCCCTGGGCAACCTGTCCTAGTGTTCAACCAACCTCAGAGCAAAGAAGTTTTTCTTCTGTTTAAATGGCATTTCCTGTGTTTCAGTTTGTGCCCGTTGCCTCTTGTCCTGGCATGGGGCACCACTGAGAAGAGCCTGGCTCTGTAATCTCTACTCCCTCCCATCAGGTATTTAACCACCTGGATTCACAGGAGCTTCTCCTGGCAGTAACTGGGACAAGCTGCGCCAGGGGAGGTTTAGATTGGGTATTAGGAAAAATTTCTTCACGGAGAGTGGCCAAGCATTGGAACAGGCTGCCCAGAGAGGTGGGGGAGTCCCCATCCCTGGAAGTGTTCAAAAAATGGGTAGATGTGGCACTTTGGGACATGGTTTAGTGGGCATGATGGTCTTGGGTTGATGATTGGAATTATGATCTTAGAGATCCTTTCCAACCTTAATGATTCCTAGTTTTTACTTTCATTATAAATGATCCAGCCACCAAGCCAGGAGGCATGGGGTTGCTACTCTACCCTTATTGGTTTAGTGGTGGACTTGGTAATGTTAGGGTAATGGTTGGACTGGATGATCTTAAAGGGCTTTTCCAACCTAAACAATTCTATGATTCTAAGTAGAGTAGGTGTACACAAAACAGGTGGGGCAGAAGCTGATTTTCCTGGCGAGGGTTTGGGACGGGAGCACTACGATTGCCATTAGAATGGTGAAAGGTCTATTCAGACAGCTGGTTTTTCAACATTTCCTCAAGAGAGTCAGCCTCTGCAGCCCATCAGCAGGCAGTTACTGTTGATGCTCTGAACTGCAACACTCAGGTTTCTCCACAAATGTGTCTAACTAGCAAGAGGTTGAGTGAACTTGCCTGTTCTCCATGCTCAGTCACCTGGATGAATATGGGAAAATGGGATGATGTAAAATATTCCGTTCTCTGTCCATGTGCTTTCTCAAGTTTTCACTTCATACCATACATTTCATAAAAACAACAACCTGTCCAAGATCCTCAGTAGCCCTTCTGCTTCAGATCCTGAAACTTGGCAACACCAGCTTGGGCGAAGACTTTGCTGATTTTGGAAGGTTTGCAGCGTTCAGGAAAGTAAACTTACCTATGACATGCAGCTCTGCACTGGCAAAAATGATGCCGTGTCTGTTTTCCGCTACACACTGATACATGCCGGCATCTGACAGGCTGACGTTCGTTATCGTGAGCGAGCCCTGCTCTAGCTGAACTCTGCCCTGTAGGAAACAGTAAAACAAATAAAAAGAAGTAAATAAGGAGATCCCTCCTTGGAGCATAAACCCAGCAGTTGTTGTGCTGTATTTTATACCAAGGTAGACAAAAAAAAGTAGCAGTAATGGGAAGAATTTGCATGCTCCCATCTATTTGTGGGCCAGCTAAATTTATGTCAGGTTAGACACTAAATGGTAAAAGCAATACACTAGTTGGTAAATGCAATTTAAATTGGAGGACTTTCACTTGACTCCTCATTGATTTAATACCCAAACCATTTAGATTAATATCCCTTTCAAGGAGATAAACTTGAATCAAAAACGCACATTTGTTCCATAGCAGCATATCACAGCCAACGGTATTCTTTAAAACATTTAAAACAATAGTATTATGAGTACATATAGCAATGAAGGCTAGTAAGACTGGTTGCCATCTTAGCTAGCACAAAGAGAAATACTTAAAATCCTCTGAATTTTACTGAAAACAATATAGATGTTAATAGTTTAATGATCCTGTACTTCATATCAGCCACTAACGTGATAAGTATAAGACCATCTGCTAGTGACCAGCGTGAAGCAAGTAAAATTAGTATGTGGAACAAAAGACCAGGGTATCATTTGTCAGCCTAAGGATATGAAACTTGTGCTACCAATTTTAATAAATACAGCAAAGTGTTCCCTCCCTCCCCAGGAGTTTCACCATTTAAAAAAATAGTAACATAAAGAGCTATTGGCTTTCTACTTGGCCTTAGGGTAGAAATTTAATGTTTGCGCAACCTTTATCAGGGTCTGATCAAATCTGGGCTGCCATATCCTATCACAATAAGCAAAGGGAAAAAAAGGCCGGCTACCATGAAACCAATGCTTTGGTGACTGGTTTGAGTTTGTGGTGACACCGGGGGGATCATGGCACTGAGCGATGACCCTCCAGCGAGGGGCTGGGCAGACAGGGCGGTGGGAGGGGGTGCGTTTCCCCAGCTCCTGTGCATCGCCCTTCTTTAGGCAGCTCTTCACACCCCTGGCAATGGCAGGCCATGCTCCTGGTTGCCTGCACAGGGACACAGCTTGGCCGGAGGGGTGGGAACGCTGCTAAAGTCCGGCAGAAACGCTAAGGTCTTATTAGCAGCTGAAGTTCACCCAAACATCATAAACTAAAAAAAAAAAAAAAAAAATTTAATCTGGGGCGATCATTTTCTGGCTGCAGGCTTCATAGTCCCATTTGGGCACTCCCTCTTCTTCACAAGGGTCTCTCCACCCTTAGCTTTGTGTCATGGCTCCTTCACTTCAGGGAAATTTCAGGAGCATGGGAGCACTGGCAGAGCCTGCAAGCCCCCTCCGCGGCGAAGGGCTCCAGCGGTGCCTACCTGGGGCAGCAGCGGCTCCCCCT